TTATATCTTTTTAAAAGATATGAAAATATAGGCCTGATGATTTTTTGTTACCCCATATGAAAATCCTTTTCTAATGTTTTACCTGAACTCACTAAAATTATATAGCATTTTTTTCAGTTCCATAATAGAGATATGACCCAACTAAAATATGGGCAAGGATCTGAATGGATGTTTCTCCAAGAAGACATAAAAATGCCAAAAAGCACGTGAAAAGATGCTCAACATTTTTAGCTGTCGGGGGACTATAAATCAAAACCACAATGAGACCTCATTTTGCACTCACTAGCATGGCTGGAAGACATGCTAAGTGTTGGCAAAGATAAGGAGAAATCGGAACCTTCAGACACTTCTGGTGCGACTCTGAAGTGGTTCAGCCACTTTCGAAACAGCCTGGCAGCTTCTCCAAAGGTTACACTTTGAGTCACCATATGATCCAGAAATTCCACTCCAAGGTACATACCCAAGTGGACAGAAAGCATACATCCACTCAAAACTTGTATACGAATGTTCATAATAGCCAAAAGGGCAAACACCCAAATGTCCATCAGCTGGTGAATGGATAAAGTAGGGACTATCCATACGATGGAATATTATTCAACAATAAAGGTGGATGCTACAAGGTGTATGAACCTTGAAAATCTCTTGTCAAGTGCAGAAAGCCAGCCACAAAAGACCGTATGACTCCATTTATATGACATATCCGGAATAGGCATATGCATAGAGCGAAAGTAGATGAGTGGTGGCTGGGGGGGGGGGGGGGGGGGGGGGGGGGGGGGGGGGGGGGGCAGGTAGTGAGGGAAGAGGGAGCCACAGAGTTTGTTTCCTGGATGATGAAAATGTTCTTAAACCATAATGATGGCTGCACAACTCTGTGAATATACTGAAAACCACGGAGTTATTTTTTTTTAATGACGTGACATTTTTCATCCTGACTTTTCTAAGAATCTATCTCTCTTTCTGACATTCTCAGTCAGTCTTTTAAACACCACAGCACCTGCCACAATGTTTCATATACAGAGAAGACAAATGGTTTTTCCTTTGAACAAGATAAAATGCCCTATCTGGAGCAAAGCAAGCTTCGCTAATTGTAAATCTCATTTTTAGATCTAATTGTAGCTTAATCGTGTACTTTCACTTGCTGTCAAAATATGGATGATAGATTTCAGAAGGCATGAAGTGTCTACCTCTCACTTCTTTCCATTACATCTACAAAAATCTGCATGTGTTATATTTTAAGAGTTTATACAATTTGTTGAGAAAAGCATGTATATGCTTCATTTTACTACATATGCAATTCTATAAAAATATTCACGTTCAAAAGGCCTAGAAAGAGGCAAAAAAAAAAATACTGGGAGTCCTGGAAAGATGTCAGAATTCTCAGTAAGTTTTTAAAGCTTTCCATAAAATTGTCATTTTTTTCAATTGAGAAGAAAAAAAAATCCAATAAAAGTAAGAACAAGCTTTTCATACATAAAATAAGCCAGAAGTGATTCTTTAAATTAAATTCACTGCATGCTGAGCTTATAGTCCCAGAAAATGTTGGACTCTCTTTATCTATCTAATAGACATGATTTAAAATAATAATTATAATCAACTCTTCTCTCTCCTCTGCAGTCTTCCAAACTTGATCCAGGGTGACCCCCTCTGGAGATGAGGGTGAAGTTCAGCTTAACCTGTGCCCGCCTGACTCTACTAAAGAAAAACTCTCCTTTAAAATACCTGAGTTAGCATCTCTCTCTGTGTCTAGCTTACGCTAGCCAATCACCAGAGACAACATAATCGCCCACACTTTATGAAATGATGGGAAAGAAATTCTTATCCAAATCATCAAAACAGAGAGCTTAATTATGTAGGTCAGATCCATTTGGCCTAATTTATCTTGCTTGAACACAAAACTGTTCCGGAAAATAGCTGTTGCATAATGAATTTACACTTCAGTAAAGTGTTAATGAAAACAATGATCACCAATAATCTTTGGTGGACCAGGCTCATTTATTTATAAATATAAGATATAACCATGCTTCCTATTTTAACAATTTATCTTAGCAATTCTTTATTGCTAATATTGACTCTGTATTTTAAATATGGACCATATAAATTACATGTGACACAGTTTTACATTGCTTGTATACACAGAGGGTATTCCCACATCTTACAATCAATCACTGGAAATCACCCTCACTCGTGTTTGACCCTATGCACACGTCCCTGCTTCGGTGATTGGGACACAAAGGGAGGTTAAAAGGTATTCACATTTGTAGGGAACTATGCATAGTCCGAAAGTCAGGACATAAAGTTCAAGGATAACTATTGATAACCCCAGCCTACAAATGTGCAAAAAGAATCCTTCCAGTGTATAATAAATAAATCCCATGGAGAGGTGGGGCGGGGCTATGGCTAAGCTCTCCTCAATGGTAGCATCTGAGGAAGGAATGAGTGCTCCAGACCTAGAGGCTGCTGGGAACAAGGGCACAGAGGCAGGAAGAAGTGAAGAGGCCAATGGAGCTGAAGACAACAGATGAGAAAGAACTTTCTGCAGGGAGGTAAGGCCATAGGGGGCTAGAGCTTGCAAACCAGGCCAAGAACTCAATGTCCTTTTCCAGCAAAATGAAACCATAGGCAAGGAAAGCAAGTATAATATTACATTGACCAAGATGCAAAGCAGCAAGTCCTGATCCCAAACAGCACAAGCAGGAATGGAGAAAAAGGAATTTGAGAGATTTTATTTAAAAAGAAAAGAAATGAATACATACATACATACATACATACATACATACATAGAAAGGAAAAAAGATAACAAAAGAATTTGGCCTTTACCATGCATCTAGCCAATTATTTAGGGAAGAAGTGGGGGCTGGGAGAGTGAGCTAATATCCTGGTTTCAAGAAAAGTTCAAAGTTCAAATAGGCTTAGGGAAAAAATAAGATTAGTTAATGCAGAAACAGCAGGGATATGTTTCAATAAAAGCCCAGATGAGTCACTCTGACATCGTTATCCTATCATATTTTTAATGAAACATACAAAAAATATAAACTCACAGAACAGATAATTTAGTGGGTAAGTTTTGTATTGCCCCCCCAAAAAAGCCACACCTGGGTTAATTAAAATAAGTAAAGTTTTCCAGTGCCTTCTATCTGAGCAGTTTACAAATAAATACATAATTACCTGGGTTTTTTCTGCCTCAACATCATAGTTCATGCGTGCACACACACACACACACACACACACAGAAAGACACATTTATAGGTTATTGATTATCTACAAATTCTCCCTTAATTTCACCATGGGTCACTTTATTAGTAAGCTTCTTCAGTTCCTTTGAAAGAAACTTTTTTTGAGGACTCAGACTGTATGCACATTTGCAATCCGAGCCTTCCAGCCACCTTCTGAAAACTCTCAGACCAAAAAGTCTCAGATATACGAGAAGTTGTGTTTTTCTGATCTCCTCTTAAACATCTTTTAACCCTCTTTGCCCATAAGTACAGGTTTGATTTTACTTTTTTTAAAAAAATTTTTTAATTTTTTATTTATTTCTGAGAGAGAGAGAGTGAGCAGGGGAGGGTCAGAGAGAGAGGGAGACACAGAATCCGAAACAGCCTCCAGGCTCTGAGCTGGCGGTCAGCACAGAGACCAACGCGGGGCTCGAACCCACGAAATGTGAGATCATGACCTGAGCCGAAGTAGGACGCTCAACTGACTGAGCCACCCAGGCACCCCTGATTTTACTTTTGAAGCACAACACAGCAAGGCAGTGAGAAAAGGTTTGTTGACTGAGGTCTTAGAGTAAGTGCAAAGTCTGACCCCATAACCCTTATGGCTGCCCACCGTATCTTACAGTTCAACCACCATTTAAGGGAGGAGGGGGATCTTCCAAGAGTCCCAAGAACTTTATAAAATTTTCAAAACAAAATATATTTCACTCACTGACTTAAAACTAAGTAATAAATACATATCATGTATCAGTAAGAGGAAGAAGGGAGAAAAGTAGGGAGTTAAAGAATCAAAATAGGTTTTGATTATGGGTCACCACTCAACAAAAACAGTTTCAGCATCTTCAGAAATACAGTGGTGAGTAACACCTGACTCACCCTGCTTTCAGGGGTTCAAAGCCCTTAGTAGTTTCCCACGTAGTAGGAGACACAACTATTAATGAAAAGATCTCATGAATAAATGTGTAAGTGCAAACCTCCTAGTGCTAAAGTGGGAAGGTGTCTGATGCTTTGAAAGTATGAAAGAATGGGGGTCACTGGGGTAGACACTGGCAGAATCGAGTGCAGTTAAAAAGGATGAGAATTCTGACAGAAAAAGCTTAGTGTGAGTAAAATTAGAATGCTTTAATTAATTAATTAAATTAAAAGAACACCAAAGTTTCCTATAGCAGAACTGGAATGGTAATGGAAGCTATCAAGATAAAAAACTTCCTCGGGCTATTGGACTATAAAATGCTAATACGTATACATTATTCCAAAGATCTGTCTCAGTGGCTTCTTTACTTGACATGGGAACTCCCCCTGACTTCAGCATGGGTCATGATCTCATGGTTGGTTCGTAGGTTCGACCGTGTCAGGCTCTGTTCCAACAGCTCAGAGCGTGGAGCCTGCTTCAGATCCTGTGTCTCCCTCTCTCTCTGTCTCTCACCCACTCAGGCTCTGTCTCTCTCTGTCCCTCAAAAATAAATAAACGGTTAAAAAAAACTTAAAAAATAAAATAAAAGTGATTATTAAAAAATTAAGTTTGGGTGGGAAGTACTCCTGTTATTCATCTCAGTACTCCATAAAATAAAGCTTTGAATCCTCAGCAGTTCCATTTGGATCCTTTCTGTAATCAAACGTGATAAAAACATGAAAGTTGCCTAGTAACCTCTGAACCACAGAACGTCACTTGCACACATCCCTCCGTCTGACCCTCAGTGTTCACTCCCTTCCTTCCATGCACCTCCCCCAGTCCATGACCAGGAGACATCACGCAGAGGTGAGAGTCTTCGGGGGAACGGTACTTACTTCCTTTCCTCAAGCAGAGCGATTTCCTTTTTGACCTCATTGTATTCTTCTGCTATTTGGCAGTGCTGTTTGAACACCTGCATGGATTCCAGGGAGTCATGACAAGGCGGCAGAGGCTTCACAAACAAAAACAGGAAGAAATCAGTTCATTTCTTTGCATCGGAATGCATTATCAATGGTTTTGCTCTACTGATGTTCTTTAGAGAGAGATTTTTTGCATGAGAATAGCATCAGCAGTCACTATTGGACAGGGCCCGGTTGATTCTGCTCTACTGAAAATAGGGAGGTGGGCTGATATCCCCCACATTCATCTTCCAGTGTCGTTCTTGGGCAGTCTCAGGCCTGAGCCAGAGCCGGGAGGCTCATGACATGTCTATTATTTGCCATGCGTTGGAGTAAAAATAGGTCTTCTAATAATTCTGTACTTCTCCCCAGAAATCTTAAATTCTGCTTCAGAGAAGGGCAGTGGTGGGAAAATAGTTCAGCTGTCTGCTTTAATTACCCCTTACTTTCTGTTCCTGGACCCCAGAGGCATACTCCCATCCTGTAGAATGGAATAACCCTACAAGAAAGGCTCTCTTTTGAGAGACGCATCCAAACTGAAGAAATAATGCTGGACTGGAAATAAAGCTTGCAAGGATTAACAAACCCCATGAAAGACCGAACCCCAAGTAAAACAATGCTTGTAACATGTGAGTTCAAAGACAGCATGGATTCATGCCTTTATTTTTCTCCCATCTACAAGGAAACCAAAGACAAGCAGGGAAAGCCTGTAGACCCATAACATGTTGAAAATCCTACTTATTTCTAGGAAATATTTTTTATTTTGCACAGCTGGCATTCCCTGAGTTTATAATTCTAATTTCTAGTTAGCAACACATTATTGAAAACATTACCTTAAGGAACACTAGCTAATAGTCTTTTTTTTTTTTTTTTAAATGTTTTATTTATTTCTAGGAGAGAGAGAGAGAGAGAGAGAGAGAGAGCGTGAGCAGGGGAGGGTCAGAGAGAGAGGGAGTCACAGACTCTGAAACAGGCTCCAGGCTCTGAGCTGGCTGTCAGCACAGAGCCCGACGCGGGGCTCGAACCCACGAACCGCGAGATCGTGACCTGAGCGAAAGTCAGACGCTTAACCGACTAAGCCACCCAGGCGCCCGCTAATAGTCTTTTAAAGAGTTTTTTAATTACCCTTTTCAGTTATTTATAGAAAATGGTATATAAAATCTGAGAAATGCAAGTTCACTGTTAAACGGGCTCTTCAGTCTAATCCCTTTCTCACAATAGTCTGTATATATAAAGAATGTGTCTGACTAGGTCATATTTTCACTAATTGTATATTAGGAAACTGGGAAGTAATGCACTTCTTCCTGCTTGCTCCTCGCGTTATATTCTTCAAAGACAAAGATTTCTTTGGGTGTTCTATTTAGCAGCCTCACCCAGGATGTAATAAAAATTCTGTAAAGTTCTATAAAATCCTATAAAGCCTGACTGATAGATAAGATGACCCCTCCTATTTATCATGAGGCCTCTGAGTAGAGGTTTCTTAAAGGAAATAAAATTCGAAATAGATTTGCATAAAATTTACCTTCACGTGGATCATCTCCTATTTCTAAATTCATGGAAAATCTAATCATAATTACATTATGTAGTATTTTTCCCTACTTCCCCATAAACACATTCATAGCATAAACTCAAGCTGTTGGGACCATTACCCCCTTTCTTTATGGTAATAAATTGAAAAGTACTGCCCAGTAGTATTACAGTATAATGCACCCCATGAGACAAAGCTCTTGCCAAAGGAATTCAGAACTCCTGGCTCCTCTGGTCTATGTCCTAGAAATCACCACCCCCTCATCAATTTTCACCTGTTACCCTGGCAAATTACCAGGAATAACAGTAAGGAGAATGAAAACAATTTACTCCGGGCACCCTAGCCAAGTTGCTATTAAATCATCTGTGTCCTGTGTCCTTCCTGGAAGGCTCTAAGACTCTACGCATCCTATTTCCTGTCCTTACGAACATCACAGAAACTATATTCAGTCCATGACATAACTTACCACTGCTTGGAGGCCCCTGAGCCACAAATTCAGCATAGTTAACCTATGTGACAGCCCAAAGATTCTAGGACTCTGTGCAAAGGCTTTATGTCTTAAGAGGAAATAAATGAGAGTAGCCATGTAAAGGGAGAAATATTCTTTGATGCCATCATCAAAAAAGTAAAACTGAAAGTTACATACACAATTTTCTTAAGAACGGAGGGGTCTTTCTCCCCCTTAGCTTGATACCTTGCAATGCTTTTTATTAAGTGGGAAGTTTCTTGCTCTGTTCTTTTTTTACCAGCACTTCTTAATTGTGGGAAACTTGAACGTATTATGTATAGGTCGTGAGATCATGCTGTAAGGGTATTTGAGGATAGGGCGTCTTTCCGGATATATTCAATACCCTCACATGCTCGTAACAGGGTGATCATGCTACTTACACATAACGCTACTTTCAAGATTTCTCACAATTAAAAAAGGACAAGTCAAAAATAGTTAGTGCTCAGCATCTCAGGGCGTAAGAGAATGCCAGGTGCTACTTCAGCCTCTAGCTCCCACAAGCTCTGTCTTCTCCCAGCCTGGCATATAACTGGGCACCACTTCAAGTCCTCACAATTTGCATGAAAGAATTAAAGAACAATATCATTTGCTTTTTTTTTTTTTTTTTTTTTAAGCCAGGAGGGAAGTTATATTGCGTAACCCACTACAACATCGTAAAATCATTCCATTAGTCGCCAGGGGCCTGGGGGAGGGAGAAATGAGGCGTTGTTTAATGGGTATAGAGTTTCAGTTTTGCAAGAGGAAAAAGTTCTGGAGATTAGTTGCACAACAATGTAAATATGCTTAACATTATTGAACTGTACACTTAAAAATTACCAAGATGGAAAAATTTATGTTATGTGTTTTCACCAAAATTTTTAAAAAATTTAATGCAAAAAAAAAAAATTATCATTAGGTCTCTCCGCTATTCCTCACTCATCTAAGAATTGCGATGAAGAGTCGCTATCTGAAACTCACTTCATTTGCACCCAAATGCTCCTCTCTCCTTCCCAAATTTCTCTCCAGGGAGCTTAAAATTTCTCACCCCTCTATATCCAGCACCATTCACCACAAACCCTAAACATCAACCTCCCCCCCAAAAAACCAGCAGCAGGACCCACTGTCTTTAAAAGGCATCTGATGGTTATTCCAGGCGAAGAAACTCAGCAAAGAGTTTTTGAAATACATATGGTTCTCATCCCAACAGGAATTCTGGTGAATAAAGAGTTTTAAGATACTTAGGTTTATACCCCGTCCCCCAAAAATAGCAGAACTATAGGTAATGAGATGTTGTTTTGTATGACACAGAACACTGTCATTGTCTTATGATATAACATGTGTCTGTGCGTGTGTAGCATGATAAGGTCTTCACTTCGGGGGACTCTCTCTTACCTTCTTATAACCCCTCAAAATAAGAGACAATCTATGACCAACAGCATTCATTGAAGAAAATGCAAGTGTTTGTCTGAGGAAACCAATTTCTAAAATTCAAGCACAATAATAAGGCTTCCAGTGTAAAAATGGAGCTGTCGTAAGGCTTGTATCATGTGACATTTAAAACATTGACATTCATGAATTAATCAGCCATATGTGGGTTTAAGATCGGGCTTAACACATGTTCACACTGAAAACTAAACAATGTAAAAGTATACCGGTGGTAACCAAGTGAGAAAAGTCTTTTCGCTTCTTGGAATAAAAATTAACACATATTATTGCTTTAATTCTCATTGCTTAATTTTGACTATTCTCCTCCAAGAGGCTTTTGTAGTCATCATTCCGTGCTGGGAACAGGCGAGCAATAAATAAATGCTTCGTGTTGACAGTGAATTTCTATTCACATCAGGAGAAAAAAAAGTTTCTTTATTTTCTCCACAATTATGCTACATCTTCCCACACTCTGGATACACTTGTCCCACACTCTTGCCTGGAGAATGAAATATCGCACTCCAAAGACAAGGTATCCAAAGATACTTGATTTGAAAGTGGAAAGGTAAAGGTGTTCTTCATGTACCAGAGAATTCTGTGGGAATCACAGAAACAATTCTTCAGAGTCACTCAATGCCACGGTACTAGTGTTCTCACAATGCAGCCAGTTCTAAGAAGGTTAAATTAAGAGATTTTCCTAACAGCAACTCAAGCCAACTTTGAAACACATTTTTCCAAGACCCAGACTGGGGTTTGGATGAGGTCAGAGCCTGGGAGTGGGCTTTTCCTTCTCGCCTCCTTTCCTCCACCTCAGCCTCATCTGCTGCCTGTGGATGAAGATTGTAAGGGCTTTAAATGACACAAGCAATGTGAGTGAGCCACTACTCTCCCTGGTAGCCACCCCAATCAGCAGGACAGATTTAACAAGATGAAGTAAGAGAGAAACCACAAGCTCCTCTTCCAAGAATGCCGGCTTGAGCCACACCATCCCATCTCTGCTCTCTGCCCGGGTTTATAGTGAGCTCCCCCTGAAATGGACTCCGTCCTCTGGAAAGCGCCCCGTGGGAGAGGACCCAGCCAAGTATCTCTCCGCAAGGGCAAAGCCAACATAAGTGCTTCCGTTTTCTACTCGGTTTCTTCAAATACTACTGGCCCCATCCACCTCAAGAAATGTAAGAATTTAATTTTCCTCTCCCAGCTTCCCACACAGAAGATATATTTAGGAAGCTAAATATTCTACTGTTGCTGAGCAGATTTTTTATTTATTCCTTGAATCTCAGTGTTATCTTTATTAGGGGGAGGGGAAGGGGGAGGTATCTGGTTCAAATTTATGGTGCATTTTAATGTTCCAAAATTAACATATAATTTGTTAAAGCTAAATGGAAAAACATAGGATTAATTGCAATTTTGGAAAACTCTGTTATCTTAGAATTTAAAATATTTAAAAAACTTTTTTGGGGTTATTTATTTTTGAGAGAGAGAGAGAGCAAGGAGGGGAGGAGCAGAGAAAGAGAGGGAGACACAGAATCTGAAGCATGCTCCAGGCTCTGAGCCGTCAGCACAGAGCCTGACATGAGGCTCAAATTGAACTCACGGACTGACGACCTGAGCCG